CTCTTTCCTCAGTAGCCTGTCTCATGAATCGAAACGGCCCCAGAGTTTATAATTATACATAAAATGAAACGTAAAAAGTAAGAAGTGGAATAAAAATGTCCTAAATAAAATGAATACATTTTTAAAGGGAAGATTTTGATCATCAGACTGGCTGGATAACTGAGCTGAGCCTTGATAACACCCTCAAACATTCAAGATACCATTGGCATCAAGTAAAACCTTATGTGCTGTTCATGTTGATTGTTTGAATTGGGTGTCCCCACTGGGGAGTGCTAGGCCAGGCTCTGGATCAGTCTCTCCCTGAGACCAGATTCCCCACCTAGTTCTTCTGAGTGTCCCAGACACAGAGCACACCAGCGGCTGAATGTGCAAGAATGAAGGAAGAGTGTCAGACTGCAGCTCTTGCAAAGGCAATGTGAGGGGCTGTGAGTCTTGGCAGATTGACTCCCAGGGAAGGGAGGACCTGGTCATAAACACCCCCACGCAAATGCCTCAGTGTGGAAGTGCCTGCTTGGACCTGATCCTGGCTGTTAGCCTCCGCTCCCTGCTCCTGCAACCTTGGACTGATTTCCTGGCTTTCTGACTTTCGGCTCTGTTGCTGGACTTGGTTTCAGACTGCATATCCAGTTTCCAGTGCATGGTAACCATGATGACCAGCTGAGCCAGCACAGCTGCCCAAACAGCTGAGCTGCAGGAGCAGGTTATGTCATCAGAACTGGGGTCCAGTCATTTGTTGAAGCATTCTGGGGGTGGTGGAAATTGCAGTCCAGTCACAGTCAACTTATGGAGACCCCTCATGGGGTTTTCAAGGCAAGAGATGAACAGAGGTGGTTTGCCATTGCTCATGACTCTAGACTTTCTTGGTGGTCTCCCATCCAAGCAGTAACCAGGGCTAACCCTGCTTAGCTTCCACGATCTGATAAGATCAGGGTAGTCTGGGTTATCTTTCTATGGACCTTTGACTAGATAGTACTAAGGCTGCAGTTAGGGTTGGTTTTATTTTTTTCCAACCCTGTTTTTTTTTGGGGGGGGGCTATTTTTATCTCACTTCTCCCTTGTAGGTAGATCAAGATGGATAGCTGTGTTAGTCTGTCTGTTGCAGTAGAAAATAGCAAGAGTCCAAGTGCACCTTAAAGACTAACAAAATATGTGGCAGGGGGGAGCTCCTGCCACATATTTTGTTAGTCTTTAAGGTGCTACTGGACTCTTACTCCTTTCTCCCTTGTGTGAGTCAAACTTGTGATTCCCTATTTTTGCACCCTTTTATATTACCTTACATCAGTTGTTTGTTTGTTTTTAATGGGGAACATATTTTTTAAAATATTTTTAAAGAGAAAATGCTTTTTAAAATTTAATTCTGCATCGACAAGTTAGCATTACACATTATGGATGTGTATGATGTGCATATTATAAATACCATATACGTTACAATATAAACAACTTGACAAAACCAAAAGTGAAACAGTGGGGAATGGCAACCATTGACACACATACCACACACATCAACAAGTGTGAAAAGGAATGAAACAGGAAACATCCATCTCTGGCTTGAGTAGGCTCGCTCTCGCTCTTTCTGTTCTCGCTTTTGTACATTTCTGCTCCTCCCTGGCCCCTTCGTTTTCCCCTTCTTTTATTCCTTCCCCAGCTCTCAGCACCGCTCTTTCCCCACCACTTCCCCCATCCTCCCAGCCCCGCCCCCTGTGATAAGCCCGGATGCCACCCCATTATCTAGGGTGTGGTGTGAGCTGGGCCGGTGGTGGTCCTATCGGCCCGTGGGCCGTGCCACCGACACTGGCATGTAGGGTGCTCCAGGTGTGGGCGTCGGCCGTCTGCTGTTTCCTGTCATCACTCGCATTGCCGCCACCCTGTGTGGTTCCTCAGGGCACTGGGCTCTGTGGGCGAGCCCGGCCGGGGCATTGTGGCCCCCGTGTGCAGGCGATGACTGTCATGCCACATCGTCCTGGCTTCGTCTGTGACTGGGGTGCTCCTGGTGAGTCTGACGGCCAGGGGGTGTCGCCGGGGTGTGGTCGAGGAGTGAAGAAAGTTCAACTCTGAAGTCCTCTTCTGAACTTCCAGCATTTCATAACACGAAGGGCTTTTTTCTCTCCCTTCTTTTTTTTTGACTTTATCACATATTATCAAGAAGAAAGTGCAGCTAACTGCATACAATATAGAGCTGTCATCCCTAGCCTTAGACACATTTGTACTGCTGGAGTATCGATCTCGTGGGTTATACTGCCATCAATAAAAAGGCAGCCTAATGTTGCCGTGGTGGCTCAGAGGTTAAGATGCTGAGCTGCAGACCGGAAGATCGGTAGCTCGGCAGTTTGAGACCCAAGTGCCACATGACAGAGTGAACTCCCGTCTCTGGCCCTAGCTCCTGTCAGCCTAGCAGTTCGAAAGCAAGAAATTGCAAGTAGATAAATGGGTACCACTTCGGTGGGAAGGTAACAGTGTTCCGTGCGCCTCGGCATTTAGTCATACCAGCCACATGACCACGGAGAAGTCTTCGGACAGAGCTGGCTCTTCAACTTGGAAACGGAGATGAGCACCGCAACCCTAGAGTTGGATTCGACTGGCTTTCGAGCAAGGGAAACTTTTACCTTTACCTAATGTTGCAGGGTTGATCATAATTAGGGTTACCATATTTTGAAATGAAAAAAAGAGGACTTATTTCCCAACTGACTGCTTCGAACAAGTGATCAGTATGACAAATCTCATTTTAAATACCCCTAGGCAGGGCTCTTTTTGTAGAAAAAGCCCAGCAGGAACTCATTAGCATAATAGGACACACCCAAGAGCAAAACCAATTAGCATATTAGGCCACACCCCTGACCACACAGCTGATTAGCATATTGGGCCACACCCACCTTTTACTTCTTATTCTGTTTACCTTGTTTGTTGTCAAAACCCAGGGCTTTTTTGTAGCAGGAACTCCTTTGCATGTTAGGCCACACACCCCTAATGTAGCCAATCCTAATGAGTTTCTGCTGTTGGGTGTGGCCTATTATGCTAATTAGTTCCTGCTGGGCGTGGCCAACTTGGGAGCCAGCCGGAACTCCGTTCCTGCCCAAAAATAGCCCTGCCCCTAGGGATACCATTCTCCAGGTGGAGGCAGGGGATCCCCTGCTTTTGTGGGTTCCCGCTTGCCGCCGGCCAGCTGGCCAGCAGGAGGAAATTCCCCCACCCGACGCCATGTACGATGTGCTGATGTCACCCGGAAATGACGTCAGCACATTGGTGATGTGGCACTCTGCTTTTTGGGCAAAACTCTATGGCTTGAGGCCATTTTTACCATAGAGTTTTGCCCAAAAAGCAGAGCATCGCCCCCGCATCACTGACATGCTGATGTCCCCCCAAATCCTCCCGCCAGTGCGACAAACGGACCCGGCAACTCTAAATACGCCTACTATTTAAGCTGGTGATAATTGCTACTAACTAGGAATATTCCTAACCTTCCAACCCAAATAGAGGAAATTGACATCAGATATTTTTCTTTAAAAAGAGCCCAAAAGAGGACAATGCCAAAAATCGAGGACACGCCCTCTAAAAAGAGGACATCTGGTAACCCTAAGCAGACTTTATGACCTCGATAGCCCTTTAGAATAGGTAAAATACCTCATGAAAACTTTGAGCTGTGCGGCTTCGAAGCTTCAGCACAGAAAACAGATACAGCAGCTGAGCAATCAAACAGATATAAGCAGATTAGTCTTCCGTATATTCCGTAAATGGCCTCGCTGCATACAGAACATAAGCTGATGAGAATAAGACTTTCATTCCTGTGTTTGATTTTTGTCCTGCTCTCCCCTTTATCCTTAGGTGGCTTTAAAAGGTGGTTGAAACAATAAATGGAGAAAGGTTAGTTGTCTGTTGCTTTTAGCCAGGATGGGCACATGAAACCTCCATGTTCAAAGGCAGTATGTCTCTGAACATGAGATGATGCAGGAAGGGAACGGGGGGAGAAGACAACTGCTTGAACACCTGATGCTGTCTTCTAGTGATTCAGACCCTTGGTCTCTCGAGGCCAGTGTTGTCTCCTTGGGATGGCAGTGAGACCTGGGGATCCCCCAGAATCACAATACCTTACATCAGTTGTTTGTTTGTTTTTGTGGGTTTCTGCTTGCCGCCAGCCAGCTGGCCAGCAGGATGAAATTCCCCCACCCGATGCCATGCACAATGTGCTGATGTCACCCGGAAATGACGTCAGCACATTGGTGACGTGGCACTCTGCTTTTTGGGCAAAACTCTATGGTTTGAAGCCATTTTTACCATAGAGTTTTGCCCCAAAAGCAGAACATCGCCCCCGCATCGCTGACACACTTTTGTCCCCCCAAATTCTCCCGCCAGTGCGACAAACGGACCTGGCAACTCTAAATATGCCTACTATTTAAGCTGGTGATAATTGCTACTAACTAGGAATATTCCTAACCTTCCAACCCAAAAAGAGGACATTGTCATCAGATATTTTTCTTTAAAAAGAGCCCAAAAGAGGACAGATGCCAAAAAGAGCCCAAAAGAGGACAATGCCAAAAATCGAGGACACGCCCTCTAAAAAGAGGACATCTGGTAAGCCTAAGCAGAGTTTATGACCTCGGTAGCCCTTTAGAATAGGTAAAATAGCTCATGAAAACTTTGAGCTGTGCGGCTTCGAAGCTTCAGCACGGAAAACAGATACAGCAGCTGAGCAATCAAACAGATATAAGCAGATTAGTCTTCCGTATATTCCGTAAATGGCCTCGCTGCATACAGAACATAAGCTGATGAGAATAAGACTTTCATTCCTGGGTTTGATTTTTGTCCTGCTCTCCCCTTTATCCTTAGGTGGCTTTAAAAGGTGGTTGAAACAATAAATGGAGAAAGGTTAGTTGTCTGTTGCTTTTAGCCAGGATGGGCACATGCAGGCCCGTAGCTAACGCGGGGCCCACGGGGCCCAGCCCCCTAGCAGTTTTTACGGGCCCCCTTCCTGAGCCTCGGCTCCCCTACCCCAACTCCCCCTGATTGCCTGTCAGCCTGTTGGCACCAGGATGGGCACATGAAACCTCCATGTTCAAAGGCAGTATGTCTCTGAACATGAGATGATGCAGGAAGGGAACGGGGGGAGAAGACAACTGCTTGAACACCTGATGCTGTCTTCTAGTGATTCAGACCCTTGGTCTCTCGAGGCCAGTGTTGTCTCCTTGGGATGGCAGTGAGACCTGGGGATCCCCCAGAATCACAGCTAATCTCCAGACTACAGAGATCAGTTGCCCCAGAGAGAAAAAAAACACAATGCTTTGGAAGGTGGACTCTATGGCCCTGTTCTCCACTGAGGTCCCTGTCCTCCACAGGCTCCACCTACTAATCTCCAGCAGTTTTCCAACCTGGAGCTGGCAACCCTGCCCACCCCACACCCATCGGCCAATGGCCAGGGAGGAGGACCAGCAACCCTACTTTCCAGAGTTTCAGGTGCAGGTCTTCCACATTGGTGTAGTAGTTAAGAGTGCGGACTCTAATTTGGGAGAACCGGGCTTGATTCCCCACTCCTTCCCATGCAGCTGTTGGGTGACCTTGGGCAAGCCACAGTTCTCACAGAGCTGTTCTCTCAAGAGCAGTTCTCAGTCAGTGCTCTCTCAGCCCCACCTGCCTCTGTTGTGTCTGTTGTCGGCAGAGGAAGGGAAAGATAATTGTAAGCCACTTTGAGAATCCGAGTGAAGGGTGGGGTATAAATCCAGTCTCCTCCTCCTAAGGGCTGTCACGTAGAGAAGGGCAAGCAGCTGTTTTCCTGTGGGCAGCAGAGGATAGGACTCACAATCACAGGTTTAAATTAAGGGTGGGAAGGTGCAAGCTGGATCTTTTTGACAGTCAGAACTGTGCCACAGTGAAATCCGCTGCCTAGGGAGCTGGTGAGCTCCCCCTCCCTGGCAGTCTTCAAGCAGCGGCTGGACAGACACTTGTCAGGGATGCTCTAGGCTGATCCTGCATTGAGCAGGGGGTTGGACTAGATGGCCTCTATGACCCCTTTTAACTCTGTGATTCTATGATTCTATGATCCTGCATTGAGCAGGGGGTTAGACTAGATGGCCTGTATGGCCTCTCCCAACTCTGGGATTTTATGATTCTTCTTCTTCTTCCTACTTTGTCCTTTGAACTGGAGATGCTGGAGATTTAACCTGGGACCTTCTGCATGCCAAGCAGATGCTCTGCCACTGAGCCACAGCCCCTCCCACTGCTTGCTTGCAGGCTTCCTTCCAAGATGCTAGCTGAGAGGTGTGTTAGTTTGATCCAGCAAGACTCTTCTGATATTCTGACTGAGCTTTCTCGCTGTTCTGGGCAACTTGGGGATTCTATTCCCGCTGCTGGCTGCAAATTGCAGTTTGCCTTCACCCCAGGAGCTGGATCTGACACATGCTCGGAATGAAAAGAGCCCGGCGCATTTGCAGGCTTACATTTCTGACAGCGAATTTGTTTTTTGTTTTTTTGTTTTTTTAAAAATAGAGTATCTTTATTTTGTGTGGGGGGGTTATTCTATCAGCCGTTTCTCATCGTCGGGAGAGTTAGGGGCTGTTTTGTTCCCCCCCCTTCCCTGTGTTCAGGGGAGCATTGCCATAGACTAAATGAAAAAAGCTGTCAAGGGCAGAGAAAACAAACCGCGAAATATTTCTCTCTTCCTCTTTCTTCTTTTTCATCTTGGGCATGGCTCCTTCTGGCGGGTGTGGATTCCCACCCCCCCTTCCCGAGATAGGACTGTGATTGTCAAAACGGCGGCATGTCTTAATTGGCAACCTTGCTTGTTAACACCATAGGGCGCGCTTGCTCCGGCATGGCTGGCCATTTCTGCTTCTGACGCAGGCTAAGGACAGGTGTTCGGAATGACCCAGGTGTTTGGAACGAATGCAACAGTCTGGTGATATTCGGGCAGCCCCTTGAAGCTGCTGCAGGATACAGGTCAGAGGCGGGGCCAGGATGGTATAGACTAGAGCAGGGGTCCCCAACACGGTACCTGTGGGTGTT